CATGCATGAATGTCCGTCATAAAAACTGCTCATCATGAAAACTGCTGGTCCACAGTGCACCCTGAGGTTACAGCATGGTGGCTGTGGACCAGCTGTTTCCTCCCATTTCTCCTGTCCGTCCTTCCTCCAGTAATTTCTCTCCTCCAATTCTGTCTCTTTTTTCCCCCTCTCTGGTGATTTTCCCCTCTCGCTCTGTGAATATGTGTGTGTGTGTGTGCATGTTCAAACACTCATACACATACACGAGGCTGTTGCTGAGATGAGCATTGAGCCACAACACTGCCATCTGATGGCCAACAAAGGGAATTACAGCTCTCTGGCTCATTAGTCTCTCCCCTTTTCACAATAACACCAGTTTGACTTATTCTTCATATTTAATGGAAACGACTGATAACACTGCATTTAAGTAGCAGTTTTTATTATACAGTCCTATCTTTGTGTTTGGCACTCTTTTCATTGTCTGGTCGTCCATCTGTCTGTGTTACAGTCACTTTTCATCTTTTCTTGAAGCAATTTAAATTAACAGAGAACTGATATTATAAAAGGAGACAGTACTAATGTCACACTGTAAAATTACAAGTAAATTATTCCTGCATTTGTCACTTAATCAGGAAATGTACTTAACGCAGAAATGCAATGCAGAGAAATGTTCTCTGTGACTGTTTTATTACTATATATTATATATCATTAGATTATCATGACTCATGCTTTAATGTAAAGGCAGGATTTTACAGTTGGTTGAGTTGAAGCTCAGTTTGAACTATTTTGTACAGTACTGCATAAGGATTATTTTCATAATAGATTAATAGCTGATTATTTACTCCATTAGCTGATTGTTTGGGTATTTGTGACGGCATTTCTCACTATATTCTGTTTTTTACAAACCAGAGCACACAGAGACACTTACACAATGCTTATTTTGACAAACCAACAGTCTACACTTTAAAACTCAAAATCAATGCGAATACTTAAAATGTTTTACATAAAAAGCAGGGAATCCTAACAAAACGATTATCAAACTAGTTACCAATTCATTTTGTAGTAATTAATTTATTGACTAGCCGAGCAGCTGCACTTGTATAAACTGTTGGGTAGTTGAAAATAAAAACATACATACATATGAGCTCTTCACATGTTAATTTGTAAAGTAATAAAACTGTAAAATAACTGTATTAAAGTAAACTTTACAATATTACCCCGCCTAGAAAGTAGCATGAAAAGGAAATTTGAACCTACAGCACTTGAATTAATTACATTCCACCTCTGCATCGCGGTCAGTCCATGATAAAGGACAAATGAAACATAGATTTTATAAAGTGCACTTTAATTGTCTGGATAAAGAGTGGTAAAACAGAAATGTGTCCATGTTACATATCCTATTTCTGGTTTCTTCAACCTGTCTTCACTCACAGGACACGTTTGTTCCATCACTTAATATCAAACAAATCTCCTGCATGCCTCCTTAAGGACTATGTGTCTCCTGCTTTGATTAGCCCCATTTTGCACAGCTGCGACACCAAACAATTCCACTGTTGAGCAGGTATTTCCAATCAGGAGCAGGTGGTGCTCTGCTAATCTGTTTTCAGATAAAGATTCTCTGTTGGTTAGAACAGCAATACCTTGTTTTTCTGTGTTGTTATTAATTATGTATGACTGCAGGCAGATCATGGAGTGTTTGTGCATGTTTTTATTGAGATGGCATGTATAAAGCATTATAAAAACTTCTATATGTTTGGGGATGTTCCTGTTTAGCCCCCATACTCTCACTTTCTTATCTCTCTTCACTAGACTGCACAAGTGCCCATGAAGTACACTGCACAGAGTATCCTTTGGTCCGCTTGTGTAATTATTTAACTAAAATAATAAAGGTTTTAAGACTAAACTAGGTGATAATGAACCCACCTCAAGGCCCTTACCAATTCAGTTGGTGTAGAGCTACTGTATTGTGGTGGATTGTTGCCAGAGGAGGCAAATGTACACACATTCTTTACTCAAGTACAGATGCTTAAGTAAAAAAGTACTGATTGAACTTCTTTACTCGAAAAGTACAGGCTGTGAAAAAGTACAGGCTCTGTATTTAAAGTATAAAATTAAAAAGTACTCTGACTTTCCTACTGGCTGCTGTGCAAAGCTAACTGGAACCTCAAAGAGCGTCAAGTGCTCATCTCGTGTGCCTCATCTTGTTATGTCTTTTATGTCTTTTTCATCATGTTACGTCTGTCATGTGTGATATTCTTCGCCAGATCAAAAAGTATAATTGGTAGTGTTACTAAAAAGAAACAAAGAAGTCTCTCTTTATGTTCGTCCATGTTATGCATGGATACTGCCTCCACTGGCGCAGGAACAGGAGGCAACAGGCTGACCAATCACTGTTATGGTTAACATGTTGTATCTCTGCAGCCCTGGCATGTAGTTACATTTTTTAGGAGGAGCACAGCTGAGCCACAGAGCCTCTGCGACACCCTGATGCAGCAGCCTAAATCCGGCTTAACATATTTTCAAATGAGAGTCCGTGTAGGGTAGTGTTTAATTATTTCATTCGTCTTTAGCATTGTGGTGCATGTTAATGTATCTGGGATTGTTTCTGGGAGAAAACGAGCTGTAAGGTGTCTTTAAGGGGAAGCATCTTTGCTGTGTTTAGTGTGTCAGAGTTTCACTGCTGGAGGATTTTGGAGGTCAGCTGCAGTGGTTATTCTGTCGACAGGGGAGGAAGCACTGACACACTCCTAATGAGGGTTCACTGTATGCCTGTGTGCGTGTGTGTGTGTGCGTGTGTGGATTTGTATACTTTAGTATGTATTCGCATTTATGTGTGTCTTGTGCACGAATCTGACCGCAAGCACAAGTTCCTGTTATTGTGTGTTTGTGTGTGTGACTGTCCTTGTTTATCTCTTTACCACAGCACAGCCTGTTGTTGGGGTTTTCTCAGCCTATTTACAGTACAACGAGGACACGTTATCATTAGCTATTCAAGCTACAGAGCGCACGCACAAACACAAATACAAAGAGACTAAAGCCCTGCTCAAAAGGGATTGGTATTACAGGGTAACAAGGGTAATGCAATACTGGCCTTGCACCTCCTGGTTTTCGAGTTATTTATTGTTTGTAGTGCTTTTGTGAGGGATGGAACAAACAAAAATAACTAAATGTCATTCTCTGCCTCTTCCTTTTCAGTTTGTTGACCTGGTCTGACATTTTACTTATGTTCTGTTTAGCATTACACCTCTTTCAGTCCAGAAAATGCACCCAGGACGCACTTTTACTGAACACAATATCAAACCTACATTTGATTTGACTGTGCGTGAGTCGACCCATTCAGAACAGCTGCTGACGGGTCACTCTCATTACAAGGAAGTATACTAGACTCTGCCCAAAAACACTGAGTAGTCCACAGAGAAGAGTTAATGGTTTAAAGTGCAATTATGGAGATTTTTAATTTAATGAAATTAATGAAATTCTCTTGACCGAAATCAGGCGTTGAAACAAGAAGATGGTGCTGCTCAAATTCACCCCCCCCCCCCTAATGATCAGAGGACAAATCTGGTCTGAGACCTTGGTCGCTCAGAATGTTTGGCCCAGATTATCTGGTAGGGGTGGGGGGTTTATAGATCCAGTCTTAAACCTGCAGACCTGCTCGCAGACTCATTACTCATTAGTAGCACACTCATCTCCTGTAGACTTAATAGGTGGCATTATAAATGCTGTTGCTTGCTGCACCTGTAGTAAGCTTGAGTCAGGTGTAACTAGTATTATAAACGATGACTCATTAAGTGTCCCAGTGAGTCTTGTCAGTGAGAGAGCGAGCACTGTACCAGAGCCCTTGGAACTGGCTCACCTAAATGCAATATCATCCTGCATGCAGTATTTTCCAAACTTTCATATTTTTGCCAAAATATAGTGGAATAGACTTCTTATGTTTTGATCCTTACACAGCTCTGCTATGAACATCAGTAAATTGTAGAGAGAGGACAGAGTCTATAGGGTTCACACAGGTGAAGAGAATATGACTAATGCCCAGAGTTCGAACTATACCATGGCTTTTGGGGGAGCTTACTTGTTTGTTTTTTAGTTGCATTGAAACATTCAATGCTGCAGCCATGTAGGGCTACTTCTGACATTTAATACTCACATATATACATCAAAAATAGCCTCATTGTATACATAATCCATGATGATAAAGTTACAGAAAAATAGAAATTTATGGCAAAAATAGCATATTGTCAGTACTGTAGTATTAGTATTGTCAAAGACCAAAAGTTAACAAATGGTGTTTTTAGAGGAGTTCGTGTTATTAAGAGAAGCCAAGCTCCCCCTGGCTCCCCTGTAGTTTGCACCCTGCTAATGCCTTGAATTAGACCGGTGTTTGGTCGTGATGATACCTGGTTAACTGCAGGTGGGAATACTTGTGAGAATGTCAATGTGTTCCTTGTGGCTGCCGCAGCATTGTGTTATTACGATGCTCACTGTGTCAGAGACTCGACCTGACAGACTACTGATTGGCTATGACTGGTCCTATCAAGACGGAGGCGCAGGGGACCTGGCTGCGATTGGGAAAATCTTTAAAAAATAAGAAAAACTGACACTCTTTCCTTTGTTCACTACACTGTGTTTACAGTTGTGCACAGAAGAGTGCTCTGTGCTGCTACTGGTCAACATTTGGATTAGTCATAGAATTCATCTTGGAAGGCAACATTACTCTAACATGCTTGTCTTAGCATCTCAGATAAAGCGTCCACTATGACATACTGGGCACAACAATTTATTGTTTTATCACGTGCAATGCCCATTTTCATTCCTGATGTCCTTGTAGGGCTGTTATTGGGCTGATATCATGTAGTAGACACAGTAGGATCAGCAGCATTGATAGAGCTTGCATCCCCTTTCTAAAGCCAAATGGGAGAGAGGACCTCCTGAGGGTGCAGTACATCAAACCCTCTGTATTTGTAGAAATAACAGTATGAATACTGTATGTGTGTGTGTCTGTGTTTGTATGTGCGCAGGTCTCAGTCTGGTGGTTGGTCTGGTCTTGTATATCTCCAGTATTAATGACGAGGTGATGAACCGTCCCAGAGAGCCAGAGCAGTTCTTCCACTACCGCTACGGCTGGTCGTTCGCCTTCGCCGCCTCCTCCTTCCTGCTTAAAGAGGTAATCCAAGAACAATATGCACACACACACACACACACACACACACACACAGATGTAGTTGCACAACACATGTAAATAATCACACACATAAAATACACAAACAAACACACACAACACACACACACACTGCAGATGCGTTCGAGTAAACTCACAAACGCACACAGAGCAGTTCACAGTGACACTAATATGCACTGATGCTTAACATTTACTGACGCTATATGTAACGGACAAAGGAGTTAATGTGCACAGACACACACACACACACACCCACCCACACACACACGCATGCACCACAGATTGTTTGGAAATCTGTCTTGGATGTCGACCAACCGCGTTTTAGATAACCACTAAAAACCATGTATAAACACTGACCACAATTTGCTTGGTAGATTGTTGAAATACAGAATTTATTCAGCCCTAAACAACACACAACACAAACCAAACGTACACACAACAACACACACACACATTTAAAAAGTGCCTGCGTAGGAGCCCGTCATCCTGCCTGCATCAATATTCATAAATGTTAATAGCTTGAATACTTGAGGGCAGCAGCTCTGTCGCAGCACAGCTTCATATGCATCAGAATATTTCTTGCTGGGGGGGGGGCTCTGCTACTCTTTCGCAATCTTTCACTCCTCTCTTTTTCATTCTTTCCTCCTCTTCTCTTTCTTCATTTTCTACTCCTTTTCCTCCCTCCAGTCTTCCTCTCTCTCTCTAGTGTCCTCTTTTATCTGATTCTTCCTTTTTTTTTACTTCAGTTCCTTTAATCCTCCGTGTGTCTTCCCTCTTTTTCTTCCTGTCTTATCCCTCCTCTCCTTCACCCTTCTCCTTCTCTTATCCTCCTCTTTGTCTCTTCTTTCCCCATTCATCTTCTAGCATTTCTCCCTTCTCTCGACTTCTCTTGCCTGCTCCTTTCTTTCAGTTATTTCTTCCTCTTACTTTGTTTCTCTCTTTTTCCCTCCCCTCTCTAATTCCCTCTATTAATCTCTTTCTTTTTCTCTTAATCTCCTCTGTTCTTCATCTCCCTTCCTTTTTTTTTTGTTGTGTCTTCCCTACCTCCAATATTCTCTAACTTTGTTTATATTCTTCCTCTCCGATCCTCTCTTGTCTCTCTATCTCCTCCTTCTGTTCCTCCCTCCTTTCTTCTGTTTTTCTTCACGTACTTGTTCAAATCTGCCACTGAGCTGCAAACATGGATTTTTTCACACACACAACACCCACACACACACACCACACCAACACCATTCCATCAGTATTCTAAAGTTTAAAGGCGTTGTAGAGATTGATGTTTGGATGAATAGGTGAATTGAGCTGTGAAATGCTCAGCGGGATGCCCGGAGTGAAAAAATGAATACATTTTTTGATAATAGGATCATTCCACCAAAGGAGCGCCAAGGCTTTTTGTCACTCTCTGCAAAATTACTATGGATTATTTAATTTTGTTCCCCTCCTGATGGCGGTGTTTTGCAGTGTAGGGAGAAGGGACGGTCTTGATTCTGATGTTGTATAAAAGCTGTTGCATCAGGGATTTGCTAATGCTTGCATCTCATTTGATTTCCCTCCGGTAATACAGATTTTGAGATTTCATTGGATGGAAATTAGGACAAGGGTCTCTTCTCTCTCAATTCCTCAATTTTGTTTTCCCAAAACCACACCTCTCAGCCACTTTTGATGTACTTAATTTATTCATCAAAGACCACTTTTGTCATGGTACTGTCTATCTGAAACTAACATAAACAAGATCTGTTTTATTAAGTCCATTTACAAATAAATTTGCAGCCAGAAAGTAAGAGATCAAACTATTTTGTATTAATGCTACATATTTTAAAAAGAAAGCTTTATTTTGGTCTGATTTTGTCTGGAGTAGTCACCCATGTTGCTTCTCAACATAAGAATGTAACATAGAACGAAAGCATAACAGAAACAATAAAAAGTTTGTTGTAAAATATGAATTGCTACAGGAGTATAAAATGTAAGAGGGAAAACCATATTTGCAACCTCAATTCAATGCATAAAAGCAACGATAAAAGTTGTAATAAAACTAGAAAGCACCCACAAGTAGCCAGACCTCCTTAGGGGGTTGATAATCTCTGAACATATCATTGAATGGAACATTTGTTAAAGTCTGTGAGTCTGCAATTGGATCCAGTTCTTGCAAGGCCATACACGAACATTGAAAAGACAATCATGGGATACATTGACTATATTTCTGTCAGTCAGGTAAATCCTTATGTAGATGGAAAATGTTAAAAAAATAAAATATTATAAA